TAGGGGCTTGGAGGGTGGGGCTTGTGGACCTCTTATGCAGGGGAGGCACTGACTTTCAGGTTCATGGAAAGTCAGGGGAAAGACACCTGCTCCAAAGCCACACAACTTGGTCACTGACACCCCCTGAGACAGTTGGACCTCTACACCCAGGTCCAAGCAACTGACTGCTCAGCAGGGTTTGAGCTCCACAGGTGGGGCAACAGGGAGTCCTGAGGTTGGGACTGTTGCATTTTCCCAGGCTTATGCTATATGGAGAGGAGTGCTCCACCCATGAAAATTGGCATCTATGGTGTGGGAGAGAAACTCAACACAAGTATCCTGGTGGCTGTCCCTTCAGCTCTCTTCCAAGAGCCACAAAAACATGTCTCTCCTCACAGGACTCTAGTCTGCTCTGCCCCCTTTTCACCTGAGCCCAGGGCGAGTGGTTATGAATGAGAAGTTGTGTGTTTGTCCTTTAAGAGTGCCCCTATGTCTCTAGCAGACTCCCATCTTCCCTTGGCAGACAGAATCCCCACTGATTTTCAGTCAGGTGTTATGTGGGCACCTCTTCCCAGCTCTGGTGCTCTGTTCTGGGGAGCCCAGTGTAAGTTTGAGACCCCACACTGAAGGCAACCTTTGTAGCTGAGATATCTTTCTGGGATCTCAGCTGCCACCCACCTGTGGGAGCAGGGCCAGCCCTTTTTGTGTCTCTGCCCTTCCAGCCAGTCTCAATGTGGCTTCTTCTGAAAATCCTTGGTTATGAGCTTTCTGTTCAGCTAGTCTTTAGTTGCTTATCCAGGTTGATTGTTCTGTATTTTGGTTGTAATTTCAGTTTGGTCCTGAGTGTAGTAATTTCCACCTACTCCACTGCCATCTTGGATCTCCCCAGAGCTATTTTAATGAGCTGATACTTAAACTTAAATAATCTGGGGAAACTAGCAGTTTATAACATCTCAATGAAGTGTTGATTGTTTTTGTCTTCTCTTTGGAGGTCAAACCTCATTTAACTACAAGAAAATGTTCAGCCATACAAAACAATGAGGTAGTTACGGTATTTTATTTTATTTTATTTTATTTTATTTTATTTTTTAGTTACTGGTATTTTAACCATGGCATAATGAAAAGGTACACTGGAAAGAGTTAAAATGCTACTTTTTTTTTTTTGCACCAGCATCTTAATGACAAAATTAGGCCTTATATTTTAAAATACCATATGACTTAAAGATTTTAAAAACTGAAGAGCTCAGAAGGTAATAACCTCATTAATAAGCTACAATGACCTTTATGTTGGGTAAACAATCTTGAGAACTTGTCAGTATAGGAGACAAGAATAATAATTAAAAACAGGCTAATTTTTTGCAATTATTTTCTGCTTTATTAAACAGTACATAAGCAAACTCAATCCTATGTATTGAGATTAGGGAAAAATGAAAATATTGCTATGTTCATTTCTAATTGTAACACTTTTTCCTTATATGGCTTGCAGAATCATCAGAATAAATGTCTAGGCCAGTGATGGCGAACCTTTTGAGCTCAGCATGTCAGCATTTTGAAAAACCCTAACTTAACTCTGGTGCCGTGTCACATATAGAAATATTTTGATATTTGCAACCATAGTAAAACAAAGACTTATATTTTTGATATTTGTTTTATATATTTAAATGCCACTTAACAAAGAAAAATCAGCCAAAAAAATGAGTTCGAGTGTCACCTCTGACCCGCGTGTCATAGGTCTAGGCCATGGCTAAAACATAGGTGTCCTAAAGCACTCTTTTTTATTTTTTTTCTGTTTTCTGGGGATCTTCTATGACATGTAAGGACATTCAGTAGTGCTTTGACACCATGGCATTTTATAATATAAAATTACGTTTGAACCAGGTGATCTAGCCACTCTCTACTCTTTTTTTCTGTGTCTTGAATTATTTTCAGACTCTAGCAGAAATCAAGGTAAATAGACCTTGTGAATATAATAGGGGAAGAATGATTTTCTTTTTAACATGTAGTAAATATTAAAGGTTGATCAGACAGTATGTGCCTGAGAAGATATTTTGTATATTTGGATGTGCACGAGCATGCATTCTCTCACACACACACACACACACACACACACACACACACACACACACACACTTATAAAGACTGATGAAAAACAGACTTAATTTTAAAAGGTCAAACTCATCCCCGCCCCCCCAACTCCTATTGACCTTTCTACCTGTAGTCTTACTTCCATGTTCCTAACAGAAACTGGAAAAAGAGTAGGCAAAAATCACAAAATGCTAGTGATGATTTGGTAGTGAGAATGGGAATAAAAGCAAGAAAACTAAGCTCTACTCATGCAGTAGTATTGAAGATTTCAGCCAGACCTTTCTGGGGAATGAATGGAGCCTTAATACTAATTGTTAAATAGGAAAGGTAGCATTTACTTTGATTTTTTCCTCCTTTTTCAAATTCTAGTGATCTGGATCTTGTGGTGTTCAAATAAGAGGATGAATGTGTAAGTGCTTTGCAAACTAAAGTACAGTGGGGCCTTGACTTACAAGTTTCATTCGTTCCGAGACCAAGCTCGCTATGGAGCTCGTTAAGGAGCTCGTTAACTCAAATTACTCTATCCACTCAATGCAAAAAAATCGGCTGAGAGACAGAGACAGCTGGTATCTCAAAACACTCGTTAGTCGGGGCACTCGTAAGTCAAGGCCCCACTGTACCATAGATTTTAGGAAGATTATATATTTGGTTCTAGGTAACAACATTTCAAAAGATATAGACATTTTCATCTCTCCTACCCAAATTTAGTTTCTCAGCTACCCACGCATCACTTTGAAAGTGTTAGCTTTAAAACATTTCATTTTTATTATGTAACAAGTTAGAAAAGCTATGAACTTAGTTAATAAAATGTTCTTGCTGCCTAAGTAATCTGACAATTAGAAGCACTTATTTTCACCCACAAAACAATCTCTTCTTCAACTTCCACAAAAGTTTCCTAAAGAAAAAATAAAATATAATTATATTTAAAAGGCAGAAACATAAAATGTTGGAAAAACATATCTGCTAAGCTATAAATTGGAAACACATTGATTCTTAGTAAAGTGATTATGTGAACAATTATTAATTGAGCCCCTTCTGTGGGCATATTTTTCTTTTTCCTCATTCCATAATTTATGTGCAGTTGTAACATGTCCTTTCTTTTCTTACACATTATGCTGGCTATCCTTGGCAATCTGAGAGAGTATTAGTATTGCAGAATTTTAAAAGTGAATGTGACCTTTTTTCTTTCTTTTTTCTCAATTCCTCTACCACCCTCCTTACCTAGTCCCACCAACCCCGGACCCCCCATACCCTGATAGCTGTCAGCCTGCTCTCTGTCTATAGGTCTTTCTCTATTTTTCTATAAAAATCACTTTGCTCATTAGATTCCACATATGAGTGAAATCACAGTCATGGACACAGACAACTGTGGGGAGGTGGGGGGGAGGAAATAAGTGAAGGAGGAAATTGGGGGATAAATGGTGATGGAAGGAGACTTGACTTGGAGTAGTGAATACACAGTACAGTGTACAGATGATGTGTTGTGGAATTGTGCACCTGAAATCTATATAATTTGGTTAACCAGTATCACCCTAATAATTTCTTAAAAAGTGAATTTAGAGATTATCCCGGGAGAAATAACACCCATCTAGAATGTATGCTTTGCAAAGGTAGAGGCTATTTTATACTTATAGTCATATTTCTAAACATAACAGCTTGTAAATAATGCATAGTAGATGTTTATAGAAGAGGATATTGAGCTTTAAAAAGATTGAGGCTTGCCCAAGTTTACAAAGCTAGCATCTAGATCTTCACTCCTAGCTCAGTGCTTTGTCCACCATGCCACATTGAGCCTCCTTAACAATCTGATATCTCCAAATCAGTAAAATTAGGTTCTAGAATAATATTTTCTTTGGTTATTAATGTATAACACACTAAGTTTATAACTCTTGAATCTGATTATATTGATAGACACTTGGTAAATTACAAACTATACCTACTTCATTTGGCTTTACAATTGCACAATATATTATAATACTTATCTATTTAAATTTGGAATCATGAGAAAAATAAACAGAATTATGTGACCAAATAATAAAAAGGGTATTGTAGTCATTTTTGAATAGGCAGTACTTAATTACCAGATCTAAAACCACTTCTGATTCCCACGAAGTTTCTTACTTATCTTGCCAAGAATGAAAGCTAAAGAAAAATGTCTCCAGAAGGAAATTATTCACAAGATTAGTTGATAGGTTGTATTCTAGTGAGGATTAAAAGCATTTAGTTAAGGGAGTACTATATATAAAAATACATGTGCAGAATCTTTGTTTAAAGCAAACTTTGGTAATAACAAAAGTATCGTATCTCCCTATATCCTATTTGTCCCAAAGTTTCATAATCTCAAACTCAACACTTTTCATAGAAAAAGCTTGCCATTGCCTTCTACTGATACAAATCCTTCCATGTAGCTCATGGCGCCCATATTTGACATTTAGTTAATTTAGATGTCAGAAGGGAAAGTAGTGTATTATACTGGTTAATATTGGTGACAGCCACATGGAAACCTCATTTCATTTGATTATCAGGTTTTTACTCTATTCAGAAACCCACTTCAGTATGGAATACTTTTCAGTATCTTTCTCATATCAAAGTTAAATATATTGTGCCAAAAAGTTATCCTCTTTTTCATTCTGTCCCTAAGGAAATTGAGGATAGTCATTTTATTCTAAGTGAGATTAGAGTTTATATTTAGATAGCACTATTAAGTCACTCCCTAGGTCACTTCTGGCCTTAATAATCCTATATGATAAAAGGTTAATATGCAAATAGACTGAAAAGCAGAACAACGGGAACAACCAAACAACTGGTCGCTATGATGTGCGCTGACCACCAGGGGGCATACTTGGAACATGGCAGGCGTTGGCTGCAGTGGGATGGTGGAGCAGGTGAGCAGGGGCGCCAGACCAAGGCAGGGCACTGGTCACTATCATTGGGGCGAGCCTCTGGGGGGTACTGAAAATTCTTTGCTCCTGCGCTCCACAGTCCCACCCGGCGCTTGCACCTGATGCTGGCGCTGGAGCCACCACTCGCACCCACTGCCAGCGCCCAGTGCCAGTCCTGATCAACCCTGAGGGCTTCTCCACCTCCTCCTGCTCCTGAAGGGCAATTGGGGCAACAGCCACCGCTCACACCCGCTGCTGGTGCCGGGCCCAATCGCTGTGTGCTGTCAGCAGGTGCAAGCGGGGCCGGCACCATCAGTGCATGGGAGCAGCAGCAGTGGGATCAGGGCTGCCAGAAGACAGGGGACAGGGGACCGGGGACCACGGCGGGAGGGTCCAGGCAGGGGTGCAGAGGATGGGCTGAGACCTGCCCCTGTGCCTACTGCAGCCTCGAAGCCCACAGTTCCTTTCAAGGTGCACAAATTTGTGCACTGGGCCCCTAGTTATTATTATAATTAAGATCTATTGAATGCTTACTAGTTACTATGCACCTGCAGGATTTCCTGTTTCCCACAACTCTTTGAAGTAGAACTCTATTTTAAAGAGGAGGAAACTGATGCTTTGAGAGAATGACTTACTAAATTAGCTAATGGCCAACAAAGCTTTAATATAGAGTAACACTGTAAGAAACAAAAAATGATAAAGCGGCCTCAAATATGACCTGCAGTTGTTGTTTGTTGTTGTTGTTGTTGTTGTTTTTTCTTTTTTTAGCCTCTAGCATCAAAGAGAGGGAAATAAAATAAAAGTTGAAGGTTTTATTAGTAACTTTCATTCGGACTTGAATGAAGTGATCATCTGGTTTGCCTTGTACCTTTCAGATTAAAATGAAAAACACTCTTCTGCAAAGTCTCAGGTATTTTAGTAACCTAATTTCTAGAGGTAATCATGACAGTCAGCTCTCTTCTTTATATAGTTTCAACTATTCCTACTGTTAGAATATATTACAGCCTGCTACTGTCAAAACATGTTCCTCTCTGGCTGTCTGCTTTCTGTTAAACCATATTTCCCTTTCCGTAAATGTGAGGCTTCAAATACACATTTGGATGGCTAGCAATGTCACAAAAGAAGAAACAAAGAAAATACATGCAATAAAAGTAGGATACAGGACACATGAATTTCTTATATTTTAACTAGAGGCCCGGTGAACAAAATTTGTGCACTCGAGGGTGGGGTCCCTCAGCCTGGCCTGTGCCCTCTCGCAGTCTGGGACCCCTCGAAGGATGTCCACCTGCTGGCTTAGGCCCGCTCCCTGGGGGATCGGGCCTAAGCTGGCAGTCAGACATCCCTCTGGCAGCCCGGGAGCCCTCGGGGGATGTCCACTTGACAGCGGGGAGCAGGCCTAAGCTGCAGTTGGACATCCTTAGCACTGCTGAGGAGGTGGGAGAGACTCCCACCACCAGCACTGTAATGGCAGCCGTCAGCCTGGCTTGTGGCTGAGTAGCGCTCCCCCTGTGGGAGTGCACTGACCACCAGGGGGCAGCTCCTGCATTGAGCATCTGCCCCCTGGTGGTCAGTGTGTGTCATAGTGACCAGTCATTCCCAATTGTTCTGCTGTTAGGGTCAGTTTGCATATTACCCTTTTATTATATAGGAGTGTCTGGCCAGCCTGAGTGAGGGGCTGATGGCTGTTTGCAGGCTGGCCACACCCCCTTCAGGGTGGGGGTCCTGCTGGGGTGCCTGGCCAGTCTGGGTGAGGGGCTGAGGTCCATTTTCACGCTGGCTAATCCCCCAAGCGGGGACCCTCACCCCATGAGGGTGTGGCCATCCTGGATGAGGGGCTGATGGCTGTTTGCAGGCTGGCCACAACCCCCAGCCACCCAAGCTCCCAGTGGAGGCTGGCTGGAAGCAGGTATCTGGGATTTATTTATCTTCTATAATTGAAATTTTGTTGCCTTTAGTGGAGGCCTCAGCCGGCTCAGGGCTGGCGGGAAGCTTGGCTTCCTCCATCGCCCGGGCAACCAAGCCTCCTGCTTGCTCCAGCTCCGTGGCTGCCGGCCGCCATCTTGGGTAAGTTAATTTGCATACAGTCGCTCTGATTGGCTGGGGGGAATGGCTTAGGGCGTAGTGAAGGTATGGTCAATTAGCATCTTTGTCTTTTATTAGTGTAGATTTTTAGAAATTTTTCTCATCTTTAGTATCTGAAATTAAGACAGTTCTAGTCGAGTTTGCCACCTATAAAAATTCACTTGCTTAGAATATATACATGCCACATTGCCGTGCATTCAAAGAAAAGATTTAAAGGTTAGGAAATTCATTTCACAATATAACACATTTTTTTCAATAGAAAAAGAAGCGAATACCTAGAACCATACAGTAGTATATGTCATATAAGCATTAGTGGAAGAAAGATAAGTAAATATCTTTACTGAGATTTAGTTGGTATAGATTGAAATTAACATTGATTTCAAAGGGAGAGGAGAGAGGAGAGAGAGAGATAGAAACATGATGAGAGAGAATCATTGATTGGCTGCCTCCTGCATCCCCCCCGCCGCCCCCACCACCACTGGGGATCTAGACCGCAACACAGGCATGTTCCCTGTCCAGAATTTAACCCCAACCTCCTGGTTCATAGATCGATGATCAGCCATTGAGCCATGCCAGCCAGCCTCATTTCACAGTCCTGAAATGTGTAAAAGTTACTTTTGTTTAGTAGTTACCCTGGTTCTCTCAGTTATTTCTTGGAAGGGGGAGATATTTTTCTGAGAGAAACAAATAATTTCCACTTTCATGAGACTATTTAAAAACACTAAGAATAAGTGTAAAACCTTTTTTTTGGCATACAAACTATTGCAGCTTTTTTGCAAAATACCAAATTTATGAGAATGGTAGTAGAAGATGGTATTTCTCCTTACTATTGTATTTTAAAAATATGTATTTATAGGGAAAGAACAAAAACAAGATACCTTTTTTAAAAGTCACCATGATATAAATGAATTTGCTATTTTAAAAGTTTAAAATAGTGTTTTTAATAAAAACCCTCTCCTGATAAAACTTTTATCTCCAAGTCTAGACCAGTGAGAAGTTTATATAAATACTTTAATTGATACTATAGATTAAAAGACTAAAATCTTTCAATGATGGCCTGGAGCCTGAGAGCTCCCAGAATGCACTGCAGGAGAGATGGCCTGGAGTCTGGGAGCTTAACGACAGCTTCAAGATTGATTAGTATTTAAACTTTTATTAATAGTTTCTAAATGGCCTAGACCAGTGGTCGGCAAACTGCGGCTCATGAGCCACATACGGCTCTTTGGCCCCTTGAGTGTGGCTCTTCCACAAAATACCAAGTGTGGGTGCGCATGTACAGTGTGATTGAAACTTCGTGGCCCATGCGCAGAAGTGTATTTTGTGGAAGAGCCACACTCAAGGGGCCAAAGAGCCCCATGTGGCTCGCAAGCCGCAGTTTGCCGACCACTGGCCTAAACTAATTAAATCTTCTCATCACACAAGAACAAAGTGTTTTTTTTAAATCCTTATACATTTATTTTTATATTCTTTCTTTTTTCCCACAAGAACAATGTTAAATTATCTTGACTATATACCAGATAAGAAATATATTAATATTAATATTAAAATACCACATCTTTAGTATTTTCAAAAGTCATGAGCTAAATGTAGCAAAGTTCTTTATCTGTCAATCATGAATAGCATAAAAACTCAATAAAACTATCCCTTTGGATTGGTTACACGTCATTGGACTGATTATATAATTAAGTACTAACTACTACTGGAACTGTCATAATTTTTATTATTACTATGTGTGTCTATATGTGCTGATACAGCTTTCAGAAGTTGAATTCTATGCCAAAACCAAATAAAACTTAAATTAGAGGAACCCACCACCAGGGGGATTGTCAATCCCAGATAGCCTTTCAGACACCTTCCTAGTGCCATACATTTATCTGAGACTGGTTATGACAGTAGGTTATCATAGAGTCATAGGACTTCAGAACAAGAAAGAATCTAGTCCAATTAGATTATTTGACAGAAGCAAAAAAAAAAAAAAAAGAGGATCATATTGTGTTTCTAAGTAGCCCCTACATTTTCCCTGTTAAAAATGTTACTATTCAAGTTCATGAAGCTTAACAATGTCAAGCCTTCAATAAACGGCAGTTAATATAGAGCAAATCTTTTCAAAAATCAATAATATAAATTAAGGTCATTTCAGTAACTACCTGTTAGCATTCACCACTTACTCTAAATATCTTATTATTCTTAGGCATGATTGAAATGCTTATTACATTAAAATAACTTTACTATATAAAACTTTTGGCCAGATTAGGGGGATGAGAATTCTGTAACAGAAAGAAGAATTTTTAACTGCTCTACTTCACAGCATGTTCTAGAAATAATTCTCCATGGGTTCTGCATTCCCCAGAGCTCTTCTTCAATGGGCAAATAGAAAGAGAAACAAGAAATTGGGACATTTTGATGCTACTGAGCATGCACAAACTTTAAAATTGTTTTTCCTCCAGTCAGAATGTACCAACTTTCTACTCTTACTTTGAAAAGGCATTTGCATGGTAACTCTTTACTATTGCTAGAATATTCATCTTCAGTTTAGGCTGAAGTTTCAATGTGAGAATGTTTTAGGGACTTATTTCTGAATAAGCCACAAGTATATTGGAGGAGGGGATGGTTCTAATTAAAGTAACATTTTGGTAAGAGATCAACCGAAGGACTTATACGCATGCATATAAGAATAACCAATGGACACAAGACACTGGGGGGTAG